GATGATGGAGAAGTTGAAGCCAAGAACTACAAGGTGAACATTGTTATAGCTCCAAGCTGATTTTTTTTTTAACAAATGTACTATTCAAATTACAGATTGTGTCTGCTGAAAAAACAACAACACTAATCCCCATTTGTTACAAAGCTCATTTTAGCCTCTCTTTAGCTTGCGTTTCACACTTCTTGGCACTTAAATAAAATGTATTTTGTTTTATCTTCCCAAAGTTATTGATGTCTATGAGAGAGACTTTTTAAATAAAAGTATGAAGGCTAGCTTGCAACTTTTGTATTCTAAACTAAAGTTCTTTATTTTAAAATCTATTTGCTCAAAACATTGTGCAAAGGGAGCATGGCAAAGAAATTCCATTTTTATACCAGTCCAAGCTGGTTTTGGAGGTTGAGATTTTAACACTCAAATAGTTTTCTTATTGAAATTAAGAGTTTATTGAATGAAGCAGGGACTTTAAAAAAATATATATGGAAATAATTATTCACATAAGAAAAAGTCAGATGTTGCCTCCCTACAATGCAGGATGTCTAGCACTGGGCCAAGATAGATGTAGAAATGCTAAAAATAATAAGTAAGACGTATATAACCTGTTCTAATATAATGTTCTAAAGTTTGCATGACTTTAATCCTGAAATCCCAACGATGCGTTTTACAGCTACGCAGAATTAAGAAGAGAAGGAGAACTGATAGTGGAGAAGATGTAGATTTTGAGGAAAGCACTGGCAGTGATGAAGAGCTTGTCAGTGATGAAACCATAGAATCTGGGACTACTGAAACCCCCAGAGAGGAAGAGCCAACGGTCCCCATGCTGTGGCATGAGACAAAGACAGAGATGGTCCAACTGCCGAAGTCATTGGACAGGTTTGTTTAGTGCTATGTACCTACTTGAGTGTTAAACAATTTATTTTTGTTTTAATTATGGCTCAAATAAGAACCAAGATTCAAGGAAATACAAAAGTACATTAAATCAAATAAGAATCAAAGATTTAAGAAAATACAATTTAATATTAGAATGCTGAGGTTGAGTTCCTAATAAGTTAAAAAGACAAGTTGAGATTCTTTTATCGATCCATACAAATAGAATTGTGTTTTCCTTGCATTGCACCTAGTCCTTTTCAGTAATGGGATAAAGAGGATGATTAAAATAATTTTTAAACTAGAGTAATTTAAATGTTAAACATTTAAAGTTATGGGGGTATGCACTGTATTCTGAGGGATAAAGTAAGGTACATTAATCTTTAATTAATTTTTTTCAGAATAAGCATTCTAGGAAAAAGACTATCAGGAATATATTAAATTAACCTTGTGATGATAATATTAATTTGTTTAAATCTCAGACTGGACAGAGATCAGTATATCAGAAGGATGGCCATCCAAAGAATCAAAGGTGGATACAATCCCGACTTCTACAATTTTGAAGGTAATAGGCTTGTGCTTAACTAAAATAAATGTTTGTCTCTGTTTATCAAGACTCAGTCCAGCCTTAAATATGGAGGATTAAATATTAGGAATTTCAATGAAAAATGTATTACATCAAAAATAACCTTGATTGTTTTTAATGTTATTTCTGGTTCTGGTAGGGTATGTTGCTGAATCATTGCACTGGCATATGTGCAACTGTTGGGGATGTGATGCTGGTATTTTAAGGGCTGCTAGCTGATGTTAGGGCAGTTTTGAATCTCTCGATTGACATCGAGTTTACGGCGGTATTGTCCAGGTGGTTCCAAGAGATGATTTTGCGTTGGGAAATAGTTTATATTGGACTGTGTTACACAGGCACAGTGAAGTATTTATTATTGTTCCAGATGTAATTGCTTATGGGGTTGTAAGAGGTGAAGTCAGTGTTTAGTGAGCGTTTGGCTCTGATTAAGGGACCTGGTTTCCGTGGGGTGAGAGATGTGTTTGTTGGGATGGACGGCAATAAATACCTCAGACTTTGGGCATTTGAAATTTAATTGCAGCTCCTTTGTATGCCATTTGGACATATACAAGTTAATT